CATGGATCAGGGGAGTGCCAGCCTGCAATACCAGTGCCAGAGTCTGTAAAACAGAACCTTCAACCAATGACTGATGGAGGCAGAGAAAGACACCAACAGTTAAACACTGAGCTGAACTCAAGGAACCCAGTGACAGAGAGGGAGGACTGATAAGCATAGGGGTCAAGAATGGTCTTGTGTAACTCACAGAAACAGCTGACCTGAACAAGGGAGAGTTCTTGAATCCCAGACTGATGGCTGGGAGTCCAGCATGAGACTGATCCAGACTGAATGTGGGTGTCAGTGAGGAGGCCTAGGCAATCTATGGGGCCTTGGGTAGTAGATCAATATTTATCCCCGGCATAAAATGGACTTTGGGTGCCTATCCTGCAATGAGGGATGCTCTCTCAGCCTGGACTCTTGGAGGAGGGCCTAGGCCCTGCCTTGGATGAAATGACAGACTATGGATACCCCATGGTGGGTCTCACCCTCCCTGAGGAATGGAGTGGGGATTGGGGGAGGGGAGTTGTGGGGGTTTGTGGGAGGGCATGGGAGGAGAGGTAGAGGGAGAGGAACCTGGAATTGACATGTGAAGCAACCTTGTTTCTAATTTAAATTTAAAAATAAAAAAGACATAAAATAAAAGAAATAGCAGTCAGTGGTGAGGAGAAATCTAGAGATTAGAGTGCTTGGTTTCTAATCCCAGCAGTCAAATAGCAGAGCTGGTTTGGAGGTATGTATCCTTAATTCCTGCATTGAACAGGTGGGCACAGAAGGATCCCTGAGCCTGGCCAGCTTACTACACTTCGAAGTCAGCCAGTTCCAGGTACACTGAGGCACTTTGTCTCCAAAAGATGAAGAAAGAATGTTTGAGATCCTACATGTAGCTACAAACTTTATGTATGTCTTTCACATGTGCTCAGACATGAACATGTATGTGTGCATACACTGCCACAAACATTAATCAATGTAACAATTAATTTTTAATAGAAACAGTATGTCTTCTCTTATACTATCATATGCTAGATATGTTATGATTTTTCGACATATTTAATCTATTGTCTCATTTTTGGCACTACTGGGGATTGGATTTATGGTCTAATGCATGCCATGTAAGTGCTATAACACTGAGCTTCAGATCCAGAAAAATGAACTGCATGAAAAGGAAGTCTGGTCCTGGATGTGAAATCTCACACCTGTAATGTCAGGCTTCTGGAGGTGACGGCTGGAGAATCACCAAGTCTTGTAAGTCATCCTGGGCTACAGATTAAGATCCTATCTCAATGGAGTAAAACCAAGGAGGCAAAAAGGAAGAGGAAAAAAAGTGAAAGTCTATTTATATTCATCAAGCAACAACATGTGCAGATAATCATTAACACAAAGACTAAAATCTCAAGAACAAATCCTATTCAAATAACAAAGTCACGGATATTTAGTCATAAAATGTGTTTCACACATACATGATTCAAGAACAGTCATAGATGAATGCAATAAGGTAGTTCAACATCTCTAGTTAACTGCTTGTAAGCAGAACTCAATACCGAGTCTGACTTACCTGAATTTTACAAGGCTTCTGCTCTTCGCTGAACACAAATAAACTGAAAATCACAGAAGCCTCACAGGTTAAGAGTACTTCACACATTTTTTCATTTAAAGTTTTCAATCCCTCAAGCCTTGGTATCTATAGGCTTTACAGTATATTACAATATTTGCTAAACTCATAGAAAATGCTAATTGGTAACACCTAATCTTTTATTTTCTGCACTGCTGCTTAACTTGTAGGGAATGATGGGTATTGTATTTTTGGGTTTCAATATGCATTTCTTTTGCAATTTTAAAAATAACTTACGCTCAAAATATGGCAATTTTATAAGCCAGGAAAATCCAATTTTATCTTGTTCACATGTACGATTAGGTAATATTTAAATCAGATCTAAATTTCTCTTTCTCCTCATATATCATTTCTTTATGATAGTAACATTCAAAATCCCTTCCTCTACCTTTTTCATTGTGAATTTCTCACAGTTAACCTTTTAAATTTTTTTCGAAGACCTAAAATACTGTTTTCAGTCTCAGAGATCTAGCTGCCTCTGACTCCCAAGTGCTGGGATTTAAGCTGAGGGTCACTACCACACAACTCAAGTTTTTGTTTTCAAATGAAGTTCCTTTACACCTGTTAAAAGTCTGCTGAATGCGGATGCATGGGGTATCTATAATAGCTTTACTTGTTCTTGTCCATTGGCTCATTTGTTTGTTTTTATGACAAGGCAATGGTATTTTGATGACTCTAGTTTCGCAGTAAATTTTGAAATCAGGTAGTGTAAAGCCTCTAGATTTATCTTTTTTAGTAAGGAATAATTACTGACATGACTTTCATTTCACATAACTTGATGAGACTTCCAATAGCCTACGATCCCACTTGAGTAGTCTCTGTGCTGATGAGAGCATGTAAGTGGGAATGCTGGACCAAAAATGTTCTATGGATGCTTGTCAGGTTGAGAATTTAATATAACTCTTGAATTTCTGTTCATGTTTTCTGTTTGAATGATCTTTGGATTGCCAAAATGGGATATAAGAGTCTCTAACAATCAATGAGTGGAAGTCTATCTCCTCCTTTAGTCTGTTAATAATTGTCTTATGTACTTGGGCCCAGATATCAACCTTGTCTACTATCTCCTGCTTGAGGTTTGACATTGTGGGATTATGTCCAATTTTCTGAGAATCATAACTGTGTTAAAAATTCCAGAAACTGTGCTTTGTATGTGGCCTCCACTTCTACAGTACTCCATTGCATCAAGAGCCCATGTATAGAGACAGGGCCAAAAGTCCACATTTCTATTGACTGCCTACTGAAGTGATGCTGGACACAATAGAAGTCCACTAGATTAGTGTTTCATGACTAGTCTTGAAATAGTACTTGTTCAAAAGTCAATCTGTTGACACTGGTCTGAGGATACGAGTTATTAGAACATATCCATGCTAGCACTGATTTCCAAGGCAAAGCCATGTGTTATCTTAATTTACTTCAGTAAATTGAATCTTTGTCTATGTTGTAAACATTGGGATTGTGTGGATGAAGGCAGTCCTTTGGCCACTAAAATTGATATTACTCTGGCCAGTGCCTAATTGTCATAGCCACAAAATAAGATCTACAACATAATTAGTAAAGATACAGAGGAAAACACACATTCATTTCATTGTCACTTTGGTTTCCCCCTGATATGTGATAGTTCTAGAGGTATTGTCTTGGAGAACTTGCTTATCGATAGGTAGTTGATCTTTCCCAACTTGGACCTAAGGGAATGGTTCTCAGCCTGTACATTGTAAATACTTTGTAGTTGCACATATGATATCCTGCATATCAGATACATACATTATGCTAACAACAATAGCAAAAACACAGGTGTAAAGCAGCAACAAAATAAATTTATGGTTGAGGATCACCACAACATGAGGAACTGTACTAATCGGTAACAACATTAAGACAGTTAAGAATCAATGGGCTAAACTAATACAGACAATTCTTGGCTTTTTTCTTTCTTTCTTTCTTTCTTTCTTTCTTTCTTTTTTGTTTCTTGGGGAGGTGTTTTATTTTGTTTTTCTAGACAGAGTCTTCCTATGTAGACCTGGGTGTCCTGCAACTCACTCTGTAGACCAGGCAGGCTTTGAACTTGACAGAGATCCATTTGCCTCTTCTTCCCTGAGTGCTGAGATTAAAGGCATACACCACCATCTCAAGGCTAATTCACTGAGTTGGGTGACACCTGATTGCAATATCCTTAGACCTGTGTTGTCAAAAGTTGGAGAGAGTGGGTAGATACTTGAGACAGATTGAAAAGACTGGCATTGTCGTAGACCCCCAAAAAGATTCTATTCCTTGGCATATATCTTACATAGGGATCTTCAGGGCAGGCCTAGAGTACCTTTCTTTGAGCTTTGCCCTCAGTATGTGGTGTTTATATTCTGCCTGGTTCTGGTTTTCATTAAAGTGAGTCCAAAAGTGAACCAAAGACACAACCCTGTGCAAACTTTAATGCTCCTACTGCAGGACAGGTCACCGACTCTGCTCGATCATCTGTGGATTTGCAGTAGATGATAGAGAAAGCTTCTGTGTTGAAACAGTTCCATGTTTTGGTCAATTGGGTTAAGAAAGAGAGTTTCAGAAATTACGCCCATCTCTGAATTTCACTGACTGGTCAAGTCTGTAGCCTAGAATTAGTTTCTTTTCCCTGACTCAAGTAAGAGGCACCTCTCCCACACAGTTAATTGGGTTGGGGAGGTATTTTTCTTTTAAATCTTCTTTAATATGTCTTTTCTTTTTATCATATTAAAACTAGGCTTCATGGTCACTCATGCAGCATCTTTAGTTCTTATGAAACTTTCTGGTTATATGAACTGTCCAGACTGGTATCTGTGGGGTTATCGTTGCTGGGGGACCTTACTCAGACATCATCTTTCACTTTCTCTATATTTTCTTTAAGTAGTACGACTTCTTAACCAGCCCAAAACTGGAAGATCATGAGTCTTTATTAGCTCAAAATCATTAGGCCTTAACAGAAGTTTGTTCAGATGTGAAATAAAAGTGTGGAGAAACAATGTTAAAATGTTACCACAGACCTGGATCAAAGGAATACTTGTTAATGAAAAATGAATGACATTTTGATTCTATTGCTGCATGTTCAGGACAAAATACATTTTTATTCTTGATTAATTCATTTGCCATTTCTTCCTTACAGACACTTGCTTTTCTAATACATAAGTAGACATTTATAATATTTGCTGTCTTTATTCATAGTTTCAATGGCTTTAATAGTATACCCATTTACCAAAAAGCATGCATACATAGTAATATCCATAAACACATAAAATATTTGTCAGAGGCAATATGTTTTTAATTGCCTTCTGTTGTTTTTGACACACAGAAAACCTCCTGAGTGACACTGCATCGGTTAACACAAAACAGGCATAAGGCACAGAGGAAGTTCAGTGAATCCACCAATGATGTATATAAATAAACTGACCTTCTTAAAGTTTTTGTTTAAGTCGACAAGATTGAGCAGGAAGACATGATCCTTGGCTCCTAGTAGCAGCCTGCCCCTCTCCTCATCTAAAAGAAGAGTCTGGAAATCCAGTCCTTCCGAGGAACCCAAAAAGGGAATGCAGCTGTTTGAAAGCAGCAAGTCTATGGGAAATTCAAAAGAGGGAAAGGAAGGGAAAATTCTTAGTATGAAATATATTTACCTGCCCAAATAATCATATTGATCCACTTTGTGAACCCACATGTGCAGCATGGAAGTTCCCGTGTTGACACATTTGAACAAGTTTACTATATACTCCTTGAGAAATACATAATTTGGCCTAAATATTTGATTGGCTCTATTCTGTGTATAACATATATTTTAAAAAGTAATGCAAGACTTGAACTATAAAATACAAAACATTGCAAAAGCAGTTCTTAAACTACAATTTAAAGCATTTCCCTGTAGTAATATTTGGAAAAACAATAAACTCAATTACATCACCAAAGTTTAAACTGTGTCACAAATGCCATGGCATTTTTTCCTTTTGTGCTTCATAAAAATTTTACTTAGTATGAAAAATAATGGGGTTATTATTAAATTTTCATTCATATTTCAAATCGCGCATTACTTATATTCACCTATTACCCACCATGGATCTCCTCCCAACCTTCTAGTCCTTTCCATCTCCCTAAATAGTCCTTCATCATTCACGTCAAAAGCATGTGATATCTGTTTTTGTGAGTACTGTGTCATTGTATGCCTATATTGTAATTCATCCATTCACCCATAGGGCTAATTTGTTGCTTCCAAGTCCTGGTAGCTACAAATGAAATACATGCATGCAAAGTTTTGTGCACATAAATTCTTTGTTTTTTGAATAAAGCACAAGAAACAATTATTGGGATACATATTTAGTTTTGCTAGAAATTGTCCAAAATGCTTTCCAAGATGTCTGAATCAATTTGTATTTTTAGTGATAAATGCATTTTCATGTGTTCTTCTAAATAGCATCAATGTTGTCAACATTGTAGATGTGGCCATCTTAGTCATGTAATGTTGTGTTTTCTTATTTGAGTTTCTCTGACGATACTGGTATGGTGTACGAGTTCATATGCTTATTTGCTATTTTTATGTCCTTATTGGTAAAGTAGATATTAATGCCTTTCATTTTATTCTTTCAAAAGTTATGTTGTTTCTTACTATTGAGTTTTAATAGATCTTTTACAGTTTGGATATTTTTTTTTTTACCTCACGAGACAGATGTTTTCAAATTTTTACTTTCCTGTCTATAAATTCTATATATCTGTTTTAATTTCCAGGTCTGAAAGAAAATCTTTTCTAAGTAAAATTTCATTTGACCAGCTTGAGAAATGACTTTGTGTTAAGTTCATCTGTTATTCTTTCATAAGAATGTGGATTGGGTTCTTATCACCCATATGGTGGTTCACAACAACCTGTAATTACAGTTCCAAGAGATAAGGGTCTCCCCTGTGGCCTTTGCAGGCACAGCATGGTACCCAGATGCACATGCAGCCAATACATTCATGAACGTAAATCATATTTTTAAAAATATAACAAGTTGAAAATTTATTTTTTAAGTTTTAACTGTGTGGGGAGTGGGGCAGGGCAGGTATGTTCATGTGAGTGCAGTTCCTTCAGAGGTCAGAGGTGGCAGATCTCCCTGGAATTCTTATTACAGGCAGTTATTAGCTATGGTTTCTGGGAATAATGTCACATCCTCTGATAGAACAGCATGCATTCTAAACCACATAGTTAGCTCTCCATCACCGCTTCCTCCCATTTGTGATAGTGTTTAGGTTGGTACATTATTTGAATGGTTGTACTCTCACTACACTTTTACTTTATAGTTTTTGAGATTATGATGTAATTATATGCCTTTTCCCTTTTCTCTCCTTTAAACTCTCCCATATAGTCCTCCTTTATCTTTTTAAGTTTATGGCCATTTTTTCATAAATTGTTACATGCATGTATGTACTTACAAATGTATATGCATATACATGTCTAAATACATAAATACTACCTGCTCAGTCTCTGCCTGGATAATGTTACTTATATGTGTGTCTTCATAGCTGACCATTTAGTGATGGATGACAAATTTGATACTCTGCCCTGGGGAAGATATTATTATGCTTTCAACATTGCTTAGCTGTCTGTAGTTCTTTGAGACTTCCTGGGATTGTCTCATCCACTGTAGCATGCCATTTTCCTTGTTCAGTTCATGTATAGGCAGTCATGTTGGTGAGTCTCTATGGGTATTCTTTGCAACAGGAAACCATGATAGAAAACCATACCAACAAAAGGAAGAGTTGTGAAACCCAGTAACAGTGGAATCATCTACAAAACAGCTCCCAAAGCTATTACTCAGGGACCATTGTGGAGATTATAAGAGGCAAAGTTCAGGGAATTTGCTGTGAGATCTTGTCTCCCAGAAAAGTACACTTCTTTGCTAATTCAGATGTGCATTCCATGTTCAGATGTATATTTCAGATAAAGCTATAAAAAGTTCAATTAATCCTGAAAGAAATATGACCTGAAACTAGAAATAGAATAAAAACTGTAAAGCTGGATGTGACCTTCCAATGACTAAGTAAATACAACTTCACAAATGAAAGCATTCATCTTGATGAAATGAAAATGTGTATCCTATAGTCATCTATTTTGCTGTCAAAACTGATAATTATATTGGATTTCCTAGTTTCATTCTCTTTGACATCTGTATGTAGGCTCAGTGCTTTTGGTATGCAACAATCATAACAGAAACTTCTAATTAAACTAGAGCTTTGTACCACATTTCTTTCAACCAAAGTACCTAAAATAGCATCTTATATTTCTACAATCCCAGAGAACTGATCACCAAGAAGGTAGTACAAATTTTTCACTTTATTAAGTTTGATCACGTGAAACTTAAAAACAGCTGATAAATTTGAAGTAATTAACTATTAGTTACTATTGTCTTCTGCTTTCCATTGAATAATTGTTATTTTTCTCAATTTCTAAGATAGAATTGAAATTTTTAATTTAGAATTTGAAAAACATGTCAAGGTGTAACACAATCAGAAATTTGAATTTGCTTGTAGTTAGCAAACAAAACTCTTTCCTAAATATTTATACAGGATATTTATGCACACTAGGTGGACACTGACCTCTATGCTCATTTCTATTTAGGCCAGTATTACTTTTCATCTGAAAAGTACAATATTACAATGTAATTTTACAACTCAAAATGCCAAAGGTCTAGATTTTTGGCTCATTTCCAATGAGCATTCCATACTGGTTGTAAGTAGAACCTAGAAGAAAGCAATGGTATCAAGGGATTGACTAGGATAGACATGATTAAAGCCTTTTAAAAGCCTACATTTTGCACAAATCTTCACTCAGTTAGGCAAATATGCATATTCCTTGGGATTTCCCTTCGTTAAAGCAGAAATGTGAAAAGTCAAAAGCATTTGAGTAGACTCCCAATAGTGTATTCTCACTGAACTAGTGAAGTATTTTGTGTGGCACACACCCTTATGATTTCAGCTTTTCAAAACTAATGGTTATTCTGAAACAGGGATTGCAATGAAAACTGCAAAATGCAGCATTACCTACCATAAATAGTAATAGGACACTAGCACAAGACTTAGAACAAAGCACCAGGGTCTCATCTTTGTGGTTGACAAATCATTGGCAATGCGATTTAGTGATCTAGGACAAGTCCCTTGACCTCCATGTCTCAGCTTCCTAATAGACAAAATGAAGATACTAGAAGCTATATGGCAACTCATGTCAGCTTGTAAACAGAGGAGCTAGTGTGAGATGGACATTAGCATAACAGGTGGCACACACTACATGCTATGTGTTGAGTAACTATTACAGGGAGGAAGATGTGTTCTCTTTACACGTTTTGTAAAATCTATGCAAAGAAATCTTAACATTTCCAAATTTAAACAAATTTCTCAACAAGTAGGAGAGACAATCTATAGCATTTCTTAAACTTACCACTCGTAATGAGAAAAACTTAGAAAATGTTGTTCTGATTATTAACATTGACCTTCACTTTGGGCCAAACAATTTTTGTTGAAGAAACACATTACCATATCTTTTTGGAAGCCATAAATATGAAGGTTAAACATATATGTTAACTTATGGCATTCAGATAATATTAAAAGAATAGTTATTACACAAAAATTACATAGCCTATGTGAGGCACTGAGATAGGTGTTCACATTATTGTAATAGAGAATCCTGCCAGCAAAATGATTAGATTATTGTATTTGTGTGTGAAAAATATTTATTTGTATTAAAATAATATATAACAATATGAAGTATGTCCTAGGAGAGGTCCAAATGTTCCTTCTGAATAATCACTTGTCTAGCATCTCCCTGATGTGTCCATTACCTATCCAACATCAAACATCATAGCTTCATAATCACTTAAAGTAGTGAACACTTGTTGAACCATCAGGTCAAAACACACTAGAGCTATATTTCACCCCAATATATATGCCACTTACATGTCTTCATCATGTCAGACCAACACTGTAACTTGTTATGTCACTACATGATAGCCAAATACCATTCAATAAGGTAATCTGGCAGAGACTATATACTCAGCTTTTAATGCAATCTATTGATAAAATTCCATTTACTATTATTGATTATTGTGACCTACACCATTCTTACTTTATAAATCCTTGGGCATATATGCTTAGAAAGAACATAATACATGGAGGTTTAATTATCCTTGCCAATTTCATGATTCTATTTGTCTTGGAAATAATTTTCTATTCCGGGGCAGAGGGGGAAGGGTGGAGAACAACTCTGTTTTGTTGCTATTCCTTAGGATACGTTCAATTCATGAAAAAGACCAGTCTTAGTTCTATTTAAGTTTCCAGTAGCTATCTTAGAGTCTGTGAAAATTAAGTGCTTAATGACTATTTGTAGCATGGAATTCAGTCTATTAAACACGGAAAATATGTGGGACTACAAGAAGTGAAACTAGACATACAGACAGTGTCGAGATAGCCAAGGGCCGTGATGTCAAGCAGGGGAGTTAGGCTATTACGTAGGTGACTGGAAGCCATGGACATTTTATTTTTCAAGGAAGTGGCAAGGACTCAGCCTGAGTGTTAGAGAGATAAGTATGCCTACAGAGTTC